GTGTGTGTGTGTCTTGCTCATAGAAGAAATAAATACTTCTTTTTTTAATTAGGGGAGAATAGAGCAGAAGGCTGTTGCCCCAAGTCTGACACTCTTGCATGAACTGCTTCCCCACAAAAGGATTCAGGCTAATTAAGTTGGCAGAAGGCAGCTTGTCTCGCAGGAAGTTTCTCAGATTTATGTGAGCATGAAATTGTTTCCCCGCACTCCCTATCCGATGGATAAGGCTGCACTTGAGTGGTTATTCTGAGGGGGGGAGCTGGGTCCCGGAGTCCAGGGCCTCTACCCTCCCACCTGACTCCCTGCCTTGTTGGAGTCCCATCTTAAGAACAATAGGGAGAGGCTGGCTAAGCAGTCAGGTCCATCAAAGGATGGTAGAGCAGGAATAGGTGGAGGAGGAACCCAGAGGGTGACAGAAGGGAGGCTGGTGAGGGAGGGCCACACCATCCGCCTTCCTGACCCCCTCATCACCCTCACGGAACTGCTGCCTGCTCCTTCCTGGGAGGAGCTGGGCCCAGAGCCTGCACACTGAGACAAGATGGAAGGACTGTGTGGAGGGGGCAGGACTGGGTGGAGGGGCCACAGGAGGAGGCAAAACTGCACTCACCACTGAGACAGTTTCCGAAATACCGGCAGTTGGGAGGTGCTCTCTCTTCTCTCTGTCTTCCTCCCTGTTCAAGTCCTTTATCCACTTAGGATCTCATTTTTCTAATCAGTTTATGTGTTTGTATTAAACACTGATAGAGACACTTAGTTGTAAATGTTTTTCCCATAATTTGAAATCTTTCTTTATCTTCTTCCTTTCAAAATACTAAAACTTGGGGGTCTTGGAAAAAATAAAATATTTGAGAGAAGCTTTCAAGGAAAAGAACCAAGGCAAGATGAATTTAAAATGATAATTTTTACTCTTTTTACAAGAAAAAAGAATGGCTAAGACATAGGCAGAAAAAAACAAGGGTATAGAAATGGAAACAGCAAAACTTGTGAAAATTAGATGAGGAGTTTGACAATTTTGAAACTCTAGCACTTAGTGAAGTTATATGTGGAGCCACAGGAAATAATTATCCCCATATATTTAGTGACATGCCCCTAGAGGTACTTCGTAGTCTGGTTAGAAACACTCCTATATTTGTAGACACACTCCTACAAATATTTATCTCATTGATAAATATTCTTTAGACACCAAAAAAAAAAAGAAGAAAAAAAAATATGACTAGGGGCCAGCAGGTGGCGTGGTGGTTAAGGCACTGAACTCCCACATGGCCAGCCACAGTTCAAGTCCCAGACTTGGCAGCTTGCTTTCTCATTTTCCCTCTTTCTCTCTGTCCCTCTCTGGTCAAATTAAAAATAAATAAATAAATATGACTAATTTTCAACACAAAATAATGATTTTTTTTTTTAAACTAAGGTATGGGGAACCAGCAGGTGGCATCGTGGTTAAGGCACTGGATATTCCCACATGGCCTACCATGGTTCGAGTCCTGGACCTGGCGGCTTGCTTTCTCACTTTCTACCTATCCCTCTCTGTCTCTCTCTGTGTCTCTCTCTGATCAAATTAAAATTTAATTTAATTTAATTTAAAACCTAAGGTTTTTCCTAAGGTATGGGTTCAGCCGGTGGTGTGGTGGTTAAGGTGCTAGACTCCCACATGACTGACTGTAGTTTGAATCCTGGATCCGATGGCTTGAAAATCACTCCAGGCATATGTGTGCGTGTGCCCAAAATCCCAGGAGGAGAAGGGAAGATAAGGGATCACAGCATGGCCATCCTCCCTGGGGGGTGATTTCTCACTTTCCCTCTCCTTGTCTTTCTACAGGTGAACATGTCCTACGACAAAAACAAATAAAAAATGAAAATTTTAAAATAAAAAATAAGGTACACTCGGGGAAAGTCGATAAATGTTTGGCTAAAATGATCCTCTGTGTGAAGGTTTGGCAAACTATGTCCCACAGGCCAAATCTGGCTGCTGGCTGTTCTTGTAAATAAAGTTTTATTGGAACACAGCCATGCCCGTGTTTTACTTGCTCTCTTTGGCTCCTTTTGAGCTACAATGGCAGAGATTTGCAGTTGTAACAGGGACCTGTATGACATTTTACAGAAGTGTGCCAACCTCTGCTGTATGTAGTTGACATCGAGTAAATGAAAAGTTAGACTAAGACTAATTATGCTGTAATGTATTACTATTATTATTCCTATAATAGAGAGCATGTGTGCATGCACGCACAGGCAGAGAAAGTGCCCTCAACAGGGTCATGTCTCATTGCAGTCCCCTTTCTCCAGGCCTCTAACTTCTCAGGGTCCTGGGCACCTGCACATGCACCAGCATGTTTTCAGGCGGGCCCTAAGATCTGATCATACAGTGGGTCAGGTGGCCTCCAGCCTTGAAGGGGACTTGTCGCAGCTACACCACAGCAGTTGGGCTGCTAGCATTTATTTTTGTCAGAAAAAATATTCTAAGTAATCATTGCATATTTATAAGCACAAAACCATTGCAAGTACATCCTATGATTTGATAAATAAAAGGTTAAAAATAGAGGCCAGCAAATGGTGTAGTGGTTAAGGCACTGGACTCCCACGTGGCCGACTGCAGTTTGAGTCCCAGAACTGGAGACTTGAAACTCTTATCAGGCTGTGTGTGCATGCCTAAAATCTGGAAAGGAGGCTGAAGGAGAAGGGGCTGCAGTATGGCCAGTCCTGGCGGGAGAGGGGGTGATTTCTCACTTTCTGTCTCTCTGCCTCTTCTGTCTCTCCCTGAGCACACATGCCCTATAAGCAAAAATCTCTTAAAAAAAAAAAAAAAAGATTAAAAATAAACATATTGTTTTCCCAGGCCATGGCAGACAGGCAGGTCCTGGTGCTCGGTGGCCAGCACCATCTCCTGGGCCCCCTGGCAGCCATCATGGCCGAGCAGGTACTGCTGGGCCGCAAGGAGGTGGTCCTGTGCTGTGAGGGCATCGGCATGGCTGGCAATTTCTACAGAAACAAGTTAAAGAGCCTGGCCTTGGGATCAGCAGTTGGTGTAATGGCTATGTCGCTGGACTCCCATGCAATCGACTCCAGTTTGAGTCCCAGACTTGTGGCTTAAACTCACGCAAGGCGCGTGTGCGTGCATCCCCAGGATCCTGAGAGGAGAATGGAGGAGAAGGGATTGTGGTGTGACCATCCCCCCTGGGGGGTGATTTCTCGCTTTCTGTCTCTCTGTCTCTCTGTCTTTCTGGTGAGCACATGCGCCCTATAGCAAAAACCTCTCCAATACAAAACAAAACAAGAAAAGAAAAGAAAAGCACCTAGCCTTCCTCAGTAAGCAGATAAACACCAATCCATCTTGCGGCCCCTACCATTTCTGGCCCCCAGCTACATCTTCTGGCTGACTGTGCAAGCGTGCTGCCCCAGAGTGGCCAGGCCGCTCCAGACCTCTTCAAGCTGTTCCTCGGGATCCCACCACTCTAAGAAAAAGCTGCTGCCCGCAAGGTTGTACAACTGAAGCCCAAGAGAAGTTTGCCTAGCTGAGGCACCTGGCTCACGAGGGCAGCTTGAGATACCAGGCACTGACAGTCACCCTGGAGCAGCAGAGGAAGAAGGCCAAGATGCACTACTGGAAGACACAGCTCATGAGGCCACGGAAACAGGCGGAAAAGAATGTGGAGAAAATTGGCAAATACACAGAGATCCTCAAGACCCAGGGACTCCTGGTCTGAGCCCAATAAACACTGTTTATACTTCAAAAAATATTAATTAAATTTAATAAATAAACATATTATTTAAAGTTTTTGGATTTATATTTTATAAATTTATTTTCTAGTTTTTTAATTAATCGCCAGATGATGTGTGTGTTCACCAGAGGAAGCAAGAGAGAGGGAGAGAGAACACCTCCAATGGGGCATGGTCATACCACAATCCTTTTTCTTCCATTTCTCTATCCTGTCAGCATTTGGGGCATGCACACACATACCCTAGTGTGTTTTTCAAGCCTCCAGGACTGGGATCCAAACCACAGTCAGCCATGTGGAATCCAGCACCTGATGTACTGCACTTAATTGCTATGCTATGGGGCTAGGCCTCTAGGGTATTTTTAATAGCTTTTTTTAGAGAGATTTTTACTATAGGCACATGCACTCATCAGAGAAACAGAGAGATAGAAAGCAAGAAATCACCCTCTAGGAGGGATGGCCACAGCACAGTTGCTTCTCCTCTTAGGATTTTGGGCACAAGTGCACATGCACCCAGTGTGAGTTTTAAGTTGCCAGGTTGAGGATTCAAACTGTGGTCAACTACATGGGAGTTCGGGACCAGCAGTTAGCGTAATGGCTATGTTGCTGAACTCCCATGTAGTCGACTACGGTTCATAGTCCTGGACCCGGTGGCTTAAACTCACACCGGGTGCATGTGCGTGCATGCCCTAGATCCTGTGAGGAGAATGGAGGAGAAGGGATTGTGGCATGGCCATACCCCTGGGGGGTGATTTCTTGCTTTCTGTCTCTCGGTCTCTCTCTGTCTTTCTGGCAAGTGCACACGCCCTAGCAAAAACTTCTCAAAAATAAACAAATAAACAAAAAAACAAACTACATGAGGAGTCCAGCGATGTAACCATTACAACACCTGCTGGTCCCAATTTTTAATAACCTTTTAAGAACAGTTATAGGGGCCGGCAGGTGGTGTAGTGGTTAAGGTGGCTGGATCCTACGTGGCTGACCACAGTTCGAGTCCTAGACCTGGCAGCTTGCTTTCTCACTTTCCTTCTCTCTCTCTCTCTTGTCAACTTCAAAAAAATAAACAATTACAATGAATAAAATAAAATAATTCTTTTAAAAAAAGAACAATTGTAGATGTACAGAAAAAATTACATATATCTCCCCATCTAGGTTCCCTCAGTATTAACATTTACTATTGTTACAGTTCATTCATTATGATTAATGAACCAATGCTGATATGTTCGTATAGCTAATACTTCATTCACTTTATTTATATTAGTTATACATACTTTATCCAGATTTCCTTACCCAATGTCTTTGTTCTGTTTCAGGGCCCTATGTGAGACGTCATGGTACATTTAGCCGTTGTGCCTCCTTCGTTCCTTCTCGGCTGTGATATTTTCTCAGACTGGTTTTCAGTGACCTTGAAGGTTTTGAGGGAAGGAATCTGGTCAGGAATTTTGAATTACGTATTTATAAAAATACAAATTTTTGTATTTTGTATTATGTCCCTTGGGATTTAGTCTGATGTTTCTCTCATGATTAGACTGGGGCTGTGAGCCTCGGGAAGGACCCTCGCGGGGTTCACGTGCCATTCTTACCACATCGCATCAAAGCTACGCGCCGTCCTCATGGCTTCTCGGTGACGTTGCCTGGGGTCACCTGGCTGAGGTAGTGCTTGTCCGCTGTACTGGGAAGTTACTCTTTCCCCACCCTTTTCTTACCATGTTCTTCGGGAAGAAGTCACTCTGTGCAGGCCAGTCTTCAGGGTTGGGAGTTATGTTCCATCTCCTTGAGGGGCCAGTGTCACACAGATTATTTGAAATGTTTCTGTCAGGAGGATGTATCTTTTCTCCCTCGTTTATTTATTTAGTTACTCCATAATTTATTTACACTGGTATAGAGCCTCTGGAAGCCCTTTCCGTTGGCTGCGTGTTGGTCCTGCACGCCTCAGCGCTGTGTGCGTGTGTGCGTGTCCACAGCACTCTCTCACTTTCTGCACGTCTACGGGACGCTCATCTCACACACTTCTCCCTCAGCCCTCTTATCAGCCATCTCTCCACAGACCCCGTGCTGTCGCTGGGTGCCCATTGTTACCAGGGGGCATCTCAGCCGACAGAACAAGGAAATACATGTATGCACAAAGCCGCGTGTATTCATATCTATAAACACTTTGTATGTGATCGTATTTACCCGTACTAAGTGAAACCTCAGTTCAGACCGATGCCCTAACTCCAGTCCTTTGCCATGTGAATCATTCTAGCCCCCTGTCCTTGCTTACGTGTCACCTTCCATTCCAACAGCTGGTGCCTGCCATAACCCGTAATTCACTTGTTCCATTCTGTATCCACGTCCAGTGTTATCAGGACTGCTAGCCTGTACCTCCACAGGAAATCACGCCACCCGCTAGAGTACAGGGTTCCGCAGTTTTCCCAGGTTACCGAGGTCAGCACCACGTCCCCACCGCCTTTGGTGATGTTTCATACATGGAACCAAGAGGTACCATTCAGCAGCGAGCTGCCCTTCTCCTCTGGCCTATCCATTTTGGGAGCCCTTGCTAGCCACCTTAGGTTTGTGTGCACAGAGACAAAGGTCAAGGACACTTTGAGTTAATTATTAGCCCTTTGGGGGAAGCAGATTTTTGTATTTTCGTGTGAGGGAGAAGTGAAGACCAAAGGTTTTGCTCACTGGTCTGCTTGGTGCGCATACGCTATGACAAAAAGAACTACCAAGGCAGCCCTGGTCAAGCAAGATTTACACGTTTTTTGTTAATTTGCTATAAGGTGTGTTACACTTGCCAGAGAGACACAGGGTGGTGAGGGGCAGGGAGGATGGCAATCCTGTTTCCTCTGTTCTCCTCTCAGGATCTTGGGCACACATGTATGCATGCATGCCTGACCTATTTTTCAAACCTCCAGTCTGTGCAGTGCGCCATGTGGGATCCGGCTGCCTTAACCACACACCACTGGGTGGCCAGTGAACACTTTTTGTTACAGGGCATGACCTTTTTATCAATCCTATAGGACTGCAGACCCTGATTTTGCCAGTGTCACCACTTGGAGTTACTCACTGGCTGGTTTCTCCATGGTCAAATTCTACCCAAAGTCCACCTGAAGACCTTCTGATAGTTATAACCACTAAGAATATTTTCATTTTGACTTCTCCAATATTTATAAACTTTCTTTCCAGAGTTTATATCTCCATTTAGAATGAGCTCCCTTTACCAAATGGTGCAAAAGGTTTGCACAGTCCTTCAATTAATCACTTACTATGTACTTGAAAACATAACAAATGTAAATATTTGATCTTTTCACATACTCTTTTATCTTTTCTGGTTGAGTGGGTAGAAAACCTACTGGTCATTTCCTCTCCAGAGCCTTGATCTTTTTAAAAGAGTGAGTTGAGGGGCCAGCAGGGGGCATGGTGGTTAAGGGCGCTGGATTCCCACATGACTGACCGTGGTTCGAGTCCTGGACCTGGAAGCTTGCTTTCTCACTTTCTCTCTCCCTCTCTTGTTCTTGCTCTCACTCTGTCCCTCTCTATTAAATTAAAAATAAATGAATACATTTAAATAATAAAATCATTATTTTTTAAAAAGAATGAGTGGATTTGTAGTTTCTCATTCAGTTTATCAGAGTTTGGTGATAAGTACCCTGTGAGGCTGTGAACTCTCTGGGGACAGTGTCGCTTTGTATCCTCCAGGGTCCTCTAGGATACAGGAACTCAGGAAGGGTCTGGCCTATGGCAGGCGCTTCATCTGGGGCTATGGAATCACCCCGAGACAGGTTCAAAAGCATAGTTTTCATCCTCCTTCCTTCAACTTTCTGAGTCCACATAGAGACCATTTTCCCTTGTGATCACGGCTGGCCCACTTTGTTCCCCTTCATAGTCTTGTCCAGCTGGTTCCTAAAGCACCTCCTAGTGGCTCTTCAGAACTCAGATCACCTCCTAGTGCTTAGACAGGGAAGAATCTGCACTGCAAAGAAGTCTAATAGTTACCATGAAGAGTGACTTGGCCTTTAGCAGTTTATAGGATATTTACAATATTGCGCAACCCTCACCATTTCAGAAACTTGTATCCCCCCCTCAACAACCCTGTACCCACTTCTCCCGTCCCCTGGCAGCCACTCACCTACTTTCTGTCTCTGAATTTGCCTATTCGGAACACTTTATAGAATGGAATCGTTGCATATGTGGCCTGTTGTATCTTAGTACAGTTTCAAGGTTCATCCATGTTGTAGCATGCACCTGCACCTCATTCCTTCTATGATCAAATATTTCTTTACGTGCATAAACTTCAGCCTGTTTATCCCAAGCTGGCTCTTGCTCTGTCTTCTGTACCTGCTGAGTAGAACCTTTATCTAGAGTTCCAACTGGGATAGGAAGAAAGCTAGAAAATGAAAGGGGGTAAGGGGGCAGGAGCATCTGCCTATGTGACTAGGTAGAAAAACCATCAGGGCAGAGAACTCCCCACTGGCGGTAATGTGAGTCCAGCCACATCTGATAGCTAATGAGATGAATCAGCGGGCCCAGTCACATTTTATACAGCCAATGGGATGAAAGCAATCGGTGGGCCCAGCCAATGGTCAACCTATATGGTCCCAGTTAAGGAGTTATAAACCCTTGGGCAGTAAGCACCCCTTTGAGCCACTCTCTCTGCTGGGGTCCTCTCCTACCTTTCGAGAGTATACTTTCACTTTTACTTAATAAACTTCCTTTACTTTTACTATTGGTGTGTTTTATTCAATTTTTTGTCCAAAACACCAAGAGTCTGGATAGCACCGAAGCCATCCTGCAATGAAATCAAAAATTTCAGATGTCTTTCTTGACCTCTGTCAAGATCCAGTCAGACAAGATGGAAGTCTGGTGAACATGTCCCCGTCTAAAGCTCTTCTCTCTGTCGCCTCGTCCATGCTCTATGGTCACCTCAGGATACCTCTTCCCCCTCACCTGGATGACTACCCCAAAGCCCTGCACTGCCACCCTGCCTCCAGTCCTGTCCCTCCATCCATTCTCTACACAGCAGTGGGAGTGCGCATCCTTATTTACAAAGTTGATAGTGTCTCTGTTCTGACTTAAACCCTGCAATGTCTGCCCACTGCTCGCAGGATAAAGTCCACGTTTCCCATTATGACTTCTTGTTTGTTTTTGGTTTTGCTATAGGACATGTGCACTCTCACCAGAGAGAGACAGAGAAGGAAAGTGAGAAATCTCCTCCCGGAGGGATGGCCGTACTACAATTCTTTCTCCTCCAGACTCCTCTTGGGATTTGGGGCACGCACACACACGTGTGATTTTCAATTCACTGAGTCTGGGACTTGAACCACGTAGTCGGCCATGTGGAATCCAGCACCTTACCGTCCATGCCACCTTTAAAGCTTTTAATCCTCCAGGATATGTGTGTGTTTGCCTCTCAGCCTCATCTTGCATCCCACACTCTAGGTTCCGCCCCCATGATCAAGACTCTTCCAGGGGCCACGTTCTCTCTGAAGTTCTTCCCCATCTTCCAGACAGGACCGAGCGCACATGAGCTCTCCTAGCAGCTGGAACACTCAGCCGCATTCTCGCCCTCACCTCTCTCCAGGGGTCACTTGGGTGACACCTTGTTTATATTTCTGGTCAAGTGCCACAGGGTCACCTCCACAGAAAGGCCTTCCTTGATCATGCCATCTCCCCAGCCATTCTGCATCGCATTTAATTTTTGCTACTTCAAACTACCTGAAATGTTACTGATTTGTTTGCTTGCTGATTATTTATTTCCCCACATGAAAATAGAAGCTTCTTTTTGAGAGCAAGACTCTCGACTCTTTATTTACCTCTGAATACCTAGGAGAGGGTGGGGCACACAAAAGGGTCTCAATAACCATCTTAACTGACTAATACATAATTACCATGAAAATAGTTTATGCATTTTTTAAAATCACATAATGATTATTTTTTTAACAACCAAAAATCTGGGGGCCACAGCAAGCGGCATAGTAGTTAAGGTATTAAATCCCACATGGCCAACTCTGTGGTTCAAGTCCCAGACCTGGGCGGCTTGAAAACTCACTCCAGGCATGTGTGAGTGCGCGCTCAAAATCCTGAGAGGAGAACGGAGAAGGAATTGCGCCGCAGCCATCACCTATGGGGGGTGATTTCTCACTTTCCCTCTTTCTGTCTCTTGTCTCTCTCCATTGAGCACATAACACCCTATGGCAAAACCCTAAATAAATAAATAATAAAGGTCACAAATCTGAAGACTCTTAGCAGAAGTTAGAGGCCACCTGTCACTGGCATGTGGACCCACCCTAGACTTCCACCTCTGGAAAATTCTTGTCATCTTTCGACCTCTGTCGTCCTGAGAAACCCTGTTCTTCAGTCACTCTCTGAGTGGCCCTTTGGTTCCTGCTTCCTCTTCCTTCTCCTCCTAATTGTGGACTGTCCCCATATCTGAGTCTTGGTCCTCTCCTGCAGCACACCCCGCACACCCCGAGGGCATCTGGGTCACGGTGTGCCATCCGTGTGTCCCATCCTAAGTCAGCCCACCACCTGCAACCTGGAAGGTCCACTTGGAATTCCCCTTGTGCCCTTAAACTCTGAGATGAAGACTCCTGCTTCCCAGGACTAATTCCAGAGATCCTGCTGTCACTGGAAACTTGCCATGTTGAAACCTCACCACAGCGGCTCCGTGCAACCCTACACCATGCGGCGTGGTAAGGACGAGGCAGCTCTATGCAGAACAGGATGCAGGGCGGTGCTGCACAGCAGAAACCGAGCCACGCCATGCATACGACCCAAAATGCCTCACCACACTCCAAGTAAAAAGAGACAGAACTATTACTATTACTACTTTCTCACAGCTTATTTAACCCCATGTATTTACGGTATTGTCATTTCGACACAGTAATATCAGACAGATGAATGATATATTTTGCATTCTTTTCTTCACTAAGTCTCTGAAATCAGGTGTGTTTTTTACTGACAGCACATCTCAGTCCGGTCTAACCGTATTGCAAGTGTCAATAACCACATGCAGCTAGGGGCAGCCCATAGGAGGCCATGCAGGTGTGCACCTTGAAAAGTATGTGGTTAGTAAGCTGCAGCAGGAAATGACCGTGCAGGGCGTCCCGAGAAACGCATCCTCCATGTAATCCCCTCAGTAATCCCCCCTTGGATGCTGTGTGGGGCATAGGTGACAGGCTCTGGGCACAGGACGGGTGGGAGGCCCCTCTCTGCAGTGCATCCTCAAGATCCTTCCCTTGGCCCATTGTGACTTTTTTTTTTTTAAGAGGTTTTTGCTATAGGGCGCGTGCGCTCGCCTGACAGAGATAGAGAAACAGAAAGCGAGAAATCACCCCCCAGGGGAGATGGCCATGCCACAATCCTTTCTCCTCCATTCTCGTCTCGGGACCTTGGGCACGCACACACACGCGCCCGACATGAGTTTAAGCCACCAGGTCTGGTATGCAAACCATGGTCGACTACATGAGAGTCCAGCGACATAGCCATTATGCCAACTGCTGGTCCCCATTGTGACTTCTTAAAAAGATTGCCATTGTGGGGT